GAAATGAATTGAATCATCTTACCATTTAGAGAGAACAACTGAAAGAAAAGTATGATGCAGAATGTTTGAATCATTGTGCAGAAGTAAAAGTTGAACGGTCTGACTGGGGCTGCACACCCCACCTGCACATCTTTTAAATTCGAACCTTCGCCTCCCACAAAGGAAACTGTGAGCAAGTGTTAAAACCATCGCACAGAGGTGTTGTTTACTGCAACACGAGTGAGACCCCTTTACCGTAAACAGATAAACTGTCAAGTTATGGTTTGAGTTGGGACACAGCATAGATGTTAAATCATCCACAATCTAAAAGTGAAGAACTTGTGTCTTTTATACACTGATTGCCTAAGTGTGCCTTTACACATGGAAATAAAAGGTCATATTTGTGGACAGAAGTTTAGGTCCTCGTTGTCCCATCTAGTTGAATAAAAAGTCCATAGTTAGATAGTTACAGTGTTTTTTCATGCTTGATGATTCTTTATCTATTTTAATCTAAGGGGTGAGGAAGTGAGTGGAAACTTGGTCACATTAACTACAATGAGTGTCTCCACCTCACACACTAAAATAATGTTCTTACTTCTATGCCAAAATTAATTTGACAATTTGTCAAAAGACAGATTTACATGTTTAAATGTATTTTACTGTGCAGATTGGACACACATCTCCAGCAGACCTGCAACATGTCCTTTGTGGACCCTGGTGCAGCATCTGGGGAAGGATTAGTGATCCATTTAATCCATTAACATAAGCTCTTAATAGTTAATGTGTTTTTACTTTCAACAGATGAAGAAACATTCTAGTGAGGAGTTGTAAGCCTCAAAACACAACACCACACATTACTAGTCTTCATGTCCGTGTAACCCGTCACACTTAAGTGTCTTTTTATAAACTAGAGTGTTGAAGAAAAATCAACCAGTTGTAGAGTTGGCTGTATTGTGATTTTATCAGTATTTCAGAATAGGGTGAGTCTGTTGTGCTGAACGTATCTGAGACGGTAAACCATCCCAGAGTGAAGGACAGAGGGACAGAGAGGGCGGTGATCAGGCTGCATGCAAATGTGGCCATGATCAATGGGTACAGACATTGTGCCGTGATTACAGCGGGGTCAATAGGGAAGGAAGAAAGGATTTACAATCTCAGAGCCTCAGGGGTCAAATAAACAGGGGGCAGGAAGGGGCTTCCAGGTTTGATCAACTTAAGATAAGGGTAAGCGGCATTGTAAGGTGAGTTTAAGAATAAAAGGGGGAGAGATGAGGGAGTATATTCAGACAGGGAGTTGTCAACAACGAAACAGGATGGGGGTTCAACATCAAATACGATGCAACGATGAATATATATTAAGATTTATGGTTTATAAAAACGTCAGGACAGGGCTCCGAAGATTTGGACACGACAAAATCAGTTTTTTCCTCCTTGAGAGTTATTTAAATTGAAAAATAAAACGAGAAGAAATAGTTGTATATATAGTTTAAGTATTATTTCTACTGTCCACTAGACAGAAGCATAGTAGTATCCAAATCAATACCTGTCAGTTTAAATGATGCCTTTAAATTGCAATAATAGAGATCCCTGTTACCAGGTACAGAAGCATAATGTCAGCACATTCAACTTTTATTGTGAAGTGGAAGATGTTTGCGACCTCTCATTGCTCAGCACTGAGTCTTATGAAGAATAACTCAATACAGTTCTCATGACTTATAATTGTCTCAATTAAAATACTTGTAATCTAAGGAAAGGTTAATGTTTGCTACAGAATAACTGCCGTGTGTTCACCCTGATGAAAAGTTATTTGGTCCTCACACAGACAGACAGAACAATGCACAGTACACAATAGCTTAATGGTGGAGCTGGTATTCACAGTACAGGGGATGCTAGAAGGCTTGGTGCTAAAAAAGAACCAGTAAACAATCGTGAACACAATTGGTTTCAGGTAGTATTTCAAATACCGTGCCTTCCTGCAGATAAATGTCAAGTCAAACAGGTGAGAAATGTAGCTGTCTGTACAAAACAAAAAGGAGTCTAGCAACCAGAGAACACATAGTGTCAGGAAGTGTCTACAGCTTAGTTGAGTCGGCTTCAGTCAATCAATCAGCTTCATGTTTGAAGACCGTGTAGTTCCAGCACTTAAGTTGAGATTTTACAATTCATCACAGATTATTAAAACCAAATAAACTACTCTGATTTTGTCTTTGCAGTTGCCCTTCTGCAACACCTGTGGGTGCAGAACAAACAGCATTTCAGCGTCACCCACAGAACAGTCAGGAGGATGACGAGAATAAAACCAATGACGTCCAGGCTGTGGTACTGAATCCAGTTCAGGTCGTGTGCAGCTACTCTCAGGTGTGCTGCTCCTTTGTGTCTAATGACGAACTCGGTCCAGAAAACAGCCAGGTCCAGAGGCGGAATGGGTCGGTCCAGGTGTATCTGAGACAGCTCCACTATCTTCTCTTTGTAACTGAGGGAGGAGAGGAAGTAAAAAGTCAAGAGTATGATCTCCAGTTTGTAATTATCATTTATCATTTTTTAAATGTACTAAGTAGTAATGTAAAAGAATTATGTCTGGATGAAAATATAATAACAGCATACACCATAAAGACTATTAAAAACAAAAATAAACTGTTCAAACAGGATATTACAGAGGTCTCAAGGGTCACACATTTTTTTTATATTCACACAAAAGTTTCCATTGCACACCAGAGGCTTTGTTTGAGCAGCAGAGTGTTTTTCATTTGCACCACAAGGTTTAGTTTCTGGTGCACCACACATCCGTGGAGTGGCCCATTTCTTTGTCAGAATCAGAAATCTGTATCGTCACTGTAACAATGTGACATTGTACAATGAAATTTAGGTGCCGTCTTTGTCCTTGATTAAAAATCAGTCATTACTTTTATAAAACAGGTGAATCCCTTGCGCCGGAACAGAAGACTTCAAAATGCATTTTTGCATCGTTATTTGAAAGTAAAAGGTTGAAATATAACACAACCAACTCATGTCTTGTCTTTGTCATTTTTATATGGAGGCCTCCAGTGTGCAGCAGATATTCTCCTGTTTGTGTGTGTGTGTGTGTGTGTGTGTGTGTGTGTGTGTGTGTCAAAGTTTCTGGTGCTCATGCAAACTTTTACTAAAATATGTATTTTGTCTATGTAACATAGATACAGTTAAATGTAATTATTTGCAGAATTAAATAAATCAAAGTGTATTATAACTTACCACTACCACTCACCACTTATTAACACTTATTACTTTTGACAAGGAGAGCAATAGAAAGTGTCAAAATACCACAGAATGTAGATTTTATCAGCTACATTAACAAAGTACAATAATGAAAAGAGTTTAGAAAGTTATATTCCTTGAAATAATTACTACTTACAACTTATGCTAAAAGCTGAAATTTAATATATCATTTTTTAAACATAGAAACAGTTGTATTTTTAAGTGTGTGTGGGTTGCCAACCACAGAGGTCTTCTGACTTATACATGCTGATCAGACCTCTGCAGCTTGAACCTGAGTGGAGCTGTGCTGAGGGCAAAAATCTCCATGAACTGCACACAGCGACATTGAAAGACAGGCATTCTTTCACAAACAACCAATTCTATCAAATTTTTGTTTAAATTTCTATTTGTAAATTCATATTTTTACCTGCTGTTCTCCTTAAATAACATCTAGTTGTCTTACCTTTTATTATGGAGGAGTTTATTTAATGTAGCCAATAGTTTGTCACTCGTCAGGTCAAATATATTAAGTGTCTCTGCGGCACCGCGCGACTTCAAGCGAATCCCGTTGTCCCCCTGTTCTGCAAACAGCGGAAACATCAACATGGGCACAGCGTTGCAGATCCCCTCGTAGACACTGTGGCTTCCTCCATGAGTGATCAAGAGTTTAACCCGAGGATGAGCTGAGGAGCAGAGGAAAAGTTACATTTAATTTAAAGGTAAAGGCCATATATCATAATGTACAACAATAACTTTCTAAAATTACACTTAAGTTAAAATGAAATCCATTTTGTCTTAAAAGTTTTTCAAAAAGAAACAAATGTACAAATTTAAAATTTTACAAATAATTTTAGAGATAACATGCAGTTTGGCACACATCTTTATACAAAAATGTATTAATTAAGTAAACACACCAAGAAGATCTTTCTGAGGTAGCCACTTCATTAGTCTGACGTTTTTGGGTACACCCTTAGGTGGGTCTCCAGCGTATCTCCACACAACCTGCAACATAAATAATAACTCTTAATATGCAGGAACATCTTTAAATTGGAGTGGCATGTTGGCATTAAGGCAAGACAGGGGACAAAGTCCTACAGGTCAACCAGATTAGAGCATAGCATGAAAGTCTCTGGGTCGGTAATGAGTAAATGTTTGTACTAGGTGCTTAGAAAGCTAACATACAGAGAGCGGCCTCATAAAGGGAGTTGTTGAATGTAAGGAGAGTGAGCTTTATTGTTACCCTTTGAGGAATTTGCCGAAAAGCATCTAAGAAGTGTTGAGCCTTCTCCTCGGGCATGTTGGGCACCATTGAGCCCAGAGAGAAGACAATAAATCCATCTTCTCCCGAGCCGTTGATAAACTCCTCCAAGTCCTGCAGGGAGGTTGAAGAAGACACAAAAAGTCACTCAAAAATGTACGAAAAGTTAGTTGTGTGTTGAGATTTATGTTCTTAATAACAGGTAATCTAGTGCCAGAGACCCAAGCACAGCTTTAACGTTGTTACATTCTTTCTATATCATCTTCCTTCATTCATTATTGCTAAATATACTGTATATTACTTCTGTTTTATGTTTTTATGCAACAAGGATATTGTGTCTTAATCCGTCTCATTTTGTTTTTAAATGTGACTACACCCTGATTAGTAGTAGTACAGCATTTCACTCCCATGTGAGCTGACACAAACACTATGCAAGTGAGAAATATAGCTTAATCTGATCAATGTGGTTTCAGCATAGATCCACTCAATGGAGTAATCTTATAATCTCATTTGTGCCTATACCAACAAATCTTTCTCTTGTAATGAGTACTTGATATATGTCAAAACAAAAGGGACCCTCCCCTTTCTTCTTTTCTTAGGTAAGACTGGCCCTCGTCCTGCAGCAGTGAGTCCTGGATCAGATATCACTTTTAAAGCTGCTCAATTGTGTGACGGTTATTCTCTGTGGGGTCATCACTAGGAGTAATTTGAGCAATTACAAATCTTTTAATTGGTGGAGCTTTTCTGGATTTCCTTGCAGATGTTTGCTTTAGTCAGACTTACTACAAAGCCCGAATTTACCAAAAGTGAATCCAGATGTGCTGCATGCTTGTTTACTCTGGCAGACATTCCTTACATACTCACCGCCGGCAAGGTTGCATCCTTCTTCTTCTCTGCACAGTTGATGCCTCCAATTAAGACCATGTTTGGCAAAAGGGGTCTGGGCCAATCAAAAGCAAATTCATATCTGAGAAGCCAGACAGCCCCATGACTGAGAAGAGTTTTGTAGTCCATGTTGTTTCCCAAGTTCCTGCTGATCATCTCATCATAGTGGCCAAAGAGTAAGCTGCATGAGTAGGACTCCACAACAGACATGATCATGTTTTTGACTCTGTTCGGGAAGGTCATGATGTTTGTATTACCAGAGTGGGACACAGGAACGTATGAAGGAGGAGCGGGGCACTTGTTCGCCCTCATGTCCAGCTCACACGGAAGACCACGCAGGAAATTGACAACTGGAATAGAAAAGATATGTGCCACAATGGCTCCGCAGGGAATGAAGGGGTCTGTAAGCACGATATCAAAGCCCATGCCCTTCACTCGACTCATTAGAGGCTGGTTGTGTAGCAAACTCTCACAACCTCTCAGCTGAAGCGAGGTAAAGTTGACGAAACGCTTTATATTAATAAAATAATCGGTGAATCCTGGTGGCTTGAGGAACAGTCCGTCTGTCAGCTCCTTCAAGGTTGCATCCATTTCATCTTTGGTGAATGACACTTGGTATATCTCAGTCTTGTAGTCCTCTGATTCTTTCATCAACAGGCTGCTTTCGGGCACCAGCACCAGGATGTCATGGCCCCTGCGTATGAGCTCCTTCACCAGTATCTTCATGCTGAGCCAGTGGCTCCCATCTGCAGGCATAACCAGCACCTTCCCCCCCTGAACAGGCCCCAGACTGAGTAAGCACAGCCAGGCCACCAATCCTAGTGTAGGAAACCACACCCTGCCACCCATTGCCTCTTCTCTGTCCTGCAAGCTGCCTTGTTGTGAGAGCAACGAGTGCCTGCTCTCAACAGTGGCTTTATATGTGTGTGTGTGTGTGTGTGTGTGTGTGTGTGTGTGTCTGTGTGAGTGAGTGAGTGAGTGTGTGTTTAAATTCTGCAGGAAGTTCAGGCTGCAGTTGTGGGCGGGCTGTTATGTAAGGCAGAGAGAAAGGATATTCCCATCGGATTTTGTATGCAGAAGTTTACCATTCAGTTTGTCTCTGGTTAACCATTCTCTAATGAGACCTGGTTTGTCTTTCCCCCGTCATGTTTTGGGGTATTCATTCACAAGTGACATAACACTGATTTCTTATTGTACACATACAGTACAATTATCCAACTAATGGAAAAGGTTTTAGTCTTTTGTGACTGTAAAAAATACTTGTTTAATACATTTATTTATCATACTAAATTTAGCATGGAAGTACATTTCATTGCATTGATTTCTGATTGTATTCTCATTTATTTTCTGGACTCTATAACCTGGTAAGTCCTGCAGCTCATGGTGACCATGCACATTTGCAGCTACTGATTCGTGATTTGTTTAACTTGGCCGTTCCCTCTCCCCCACCCCCCTGAAAAGCAGACACATGCGTGCCTGTTCATGTGTTGCGTGCGCTCTTTTGAACTCTATCTGCTGTTGTCACACAACCACCATAAAAAGACACGTTGCGTGCGAAGCAAGTTGTAATTTAAAACCAACACCCTCCTCTTTGGAGGTGGGGGGGATGAAACAATCGAGCCAAATAATGTAATGTGTGGAATTTCACCCTCGGTCACAACTTGCTTGTAACTATCTTATCCTGGAATGTGCTGCCCCTGCTTTATTTCCTTTTTTTTCACAATAAAGTAACTTTGGAATCCGGTCAGGGCAACGCACATAGTTTTACACATTTAGTTGAATGAACTGTCAAAGAAAATATGAGGAAGGAAGTTGTGGGGGGGTTGGGTATGAATGGGACTTTTTCCTCAGCAGAATGTAGTTCCACTGGAAGCTGCAGGCGTTGTTTTCTGTAGTCTTATTTTTAACTCCACTAAGGAGGTTATGTTTTTATCAGTGTTAGTTTTTTAGCAGTATTACACAAAAGCTACCCTATGGATTACCAGGAGACTTGGTGGAAGGATGTGGTATGAGTCAGAGAAGAAATTAACCCATTGAATTGTGTTGCAGATCCAAATCAGGATATTTTTTCAATTTCTTTAAAAATCGCGACATTGGGTGTTTTTTAAGACTTTTGTAGATTTCTCAGAGAATACTTCATGGATATCGAAGAACAAAATCTGGTATGTTTAGGAGAATGATATCATGAGTGAGTGCAATCTGGTGGGGGTCTAAATAAAAAGCTGGATCTAGGGAGGGAATTTAAATGTGGTTTCATCAGGGGACTGTTGCTTTTTAGCCATGATAGTACTGGACTCTGTGGATGGCACTTTCAGCCACTTGAGCCTTCCTGAACATTTTCACAATTGGATGGGTTGCCATTATATTGTACAGACTCCCCAGAGGATGAATCCTACTAACTTTCAGGATACAATGACTTTTTTTTATAGGCCCTATCAGAAAGGTTGATAGTTGTGGCGTTGGATGAAATGTCTAAACATCTGTCAAATGGATTGCCATGAAATTTGATTCATATATCCAGTTTTCCTGTTCCTCTGCTTTTGCTCAGTCCTGTCTCCAACAGCAACACGACGGAGTAATGAGAGAGCTGTTTCGACACATCTGACATGCAAGTCGGAGGAAGGGGGCTGTGCTTGGGTTCATACATCACCTTCCTGTCAGTACAGCGTGAAAATATGCTTACTCCATGTTTCAGCAACGTCCAGACACAGGAGCTTTGGCACACGAATATGTCATCATTGAGAAAACTGCTATCAGACAATGTTCCAGCCACCTGTGTGTTCAAGCTGTTTTCTGTCAGATGTGACCAACTCTCCGGATTGACCTTCGCTCCACTTCATTCTGCTGATTCTTCACCTGACTATACAGGAGGACAGCTGTTTCCTGCCTTGGTATCTGTGTGTGTAGGTCAGCGTTACTCTTTTAAGCCTATGACCTTGTCTAAAGTGGCCACAAAGCGAAAACAGCTCTACAGCAGCAGCTACCTCCTCTGTCACTGCCACTGGATACAATAATGTTTGTAGACAGCAGCTTTGATCATACTTGTGATACTACATACTTCTCAAGACTGAAAGAATATGTTTTGCAAAAGCTGCAGGGTTCTTCTCACCATCACCACAAGACAAAGCTCATGCAATTAACTGTCCCAGCTTTAAACAACGTATTGTATTAACATGTGCAGTTCTCACACAGGTTGTAATAAGAGTCTCTCTCAATATCAATGAGAGGCCCACATGCTCATTAAAGCACGTGTGCCATGCCGTGCCGACTTGCTGGCAATCTGATGAAATGTGTCATTTCGTAATACAGGAAGATACTAAACTGAGATATGTGTTTATTTTTAGGTAAGCTGACGCCTGTCAGTCGTATCTACCTGCACTAAACTAAATCAAAGCCATAATGAATTTTGTTCAGCTCACACTGCTTTTGTGGATTTTGCTTTTACTTGCAGTATTTGTGTGTTTTGTCTTTGTATTATGTCCAATAAATGAGACACATTTTTTCATATATTTCAGTAAAACCTTAAAACAAGAGAAACATATCACATATGAAGATGTTCCAAAAGAAAAGAAATCTGCTTTTTGATGACAAACTAATGTATCCGTGAGGTTGCTGCAAAACTACTGTATGTAGTGATTTCAACCAGATGGTGGTGCCAAACTCATAAAATGTTTACTGGACGATATATTGTTCCAATTATTGTGATGAATATTATTATTGTAATCATTTTGAAACAATTTTAAACCACTGATATAATGACAATGGTATTGACAATGGAATTGCATAATCATGCAAGTTCACCATTTCAAAGAGCAATGAACTGAATATTCAGTCTGACATTTGAATTAGAATTAMAAWTATTAAAATATCCTTGATGAATAAAACAAATAAAATAAACACAAGCACAACAATAAATGAAATGGACTGTCTGGCTCTGTTAACAAAAGTTGCTCTCAAATAGATATTAAACATCTGGAACAGGATATATGTTACCAGCGTGGTAAACAGGATGGGGTGGTTATAATTTACATGAGCGAGGAGGTGGGACGTTCCCCACCCCTGACCAAACACCAGTCTCTGTGCAGGACTGTTTTAATTTAACGTCCAAACATCAAACTTTCATTCTCTGTACAAAGAGAATTTAGTTTCATTACTACTGGAAAAACAACTGTGCATTTCAAACCCTTTCATAATTTATCTCACATTTCAAAGTGTCAAACCTAGAGTCAATGTTTGAGTCCTGCTTACTGAAAGGGTATTTGTGATCAGTGGTTAGAATTCACATCAGGGGCTGTTACTCAACATGGTGCCAGTCATATACGTCCTTGCTGTTTGCAACTAATGGACCATGACTTTGACATATAATGAACACCTCATGCCCACTGTGAAGTCGGGTCGTGTTGTGTCATTCAGAAACGATCCGATTCTTTTCAACGGCTCTTTGGTGTGAACGAAGGAAATCCAACCTGAGAACCATTCTTATAATTAGTGCGCCCAAACTTCATCCATTCCCTTCCCTAAACTGATAAGATCCACGTCAGTGACGCTGCTCCCCTTCAGGTGAACAGAAGGGCATCAGGGAGGGGGGACGTCTCACCCTTCATGCATTATATTTATATGAGAGTAATCTCGTCAGTAACAATGTCCACTGTTTCTCTCAGGATTGTTTGTGTAGATGTGAAGCAGTTTAACATAATCAGCAAGTTGTTGTGATGACCTTTAAACCCCAGAAAGCCTTTGATTTGGGAGCTGATTCTTCTGTAACTTTAAATGGCAGCGTTTGAATGAAATGATAGCTGTTATCTAGCTGACGTTCCTGTCTGCTGTGTGTGTGTGTGTGTGTGTGTGTGTGTGACATTGTAACACCCGAGGATGAAAGGAACAGAGCCATAAGATCTGGCTCTCTTTTAAAGAGATGTAATTCCCATCACTAAAGTCCGGAGTGTGCGTGTTTGCACAGATCGTGTGGCTCTAACTTTTGTTCTAGGTGATATTGTGTAAGTAGCCATATGCACTTTCGTTGTCCTTCTGCTATATATAACAGTATGCAAGTAGATGTACCTGAACTTGGTCAAAGAAATTTGATAATTTTTGACTGTGAAACAAATGAACACAGCAGTGTAGCGAGTTACTGAAATAAAAAGTCTTGTGAAAACCATACCAGATAAAACATGACACCCGGATGATCTCAGATATTTAAAATTTGATGTATTTGATATGAATCTGAGAACAACTTTTGCTTCTTCATATAACTGTTCATTGTATGAGATATGTGAGACTGCAGTACTCTAAAATAACACTTCACTAGAAGTCTTTCCACTCAGCATTAATAAGCAGACAGTGACACAATACAATGTAAAAATGAGACGCTTCATATGTTTGTCGAGCACACACACACATACACACACACACACACAGTTTTAGTGTGTTAGAAACCATTTGAATTTACCTTTATATTCTGTTGTTTAATGTTAAACAGCGAGACTGTGCCATAGAAAAAGAAATGGTAAGGAGATCCCTGCTCTCTGAACTGATTCCGGCTCAGCGTTTCAATCTGAAACATTTTGTCCTGAGCTGCTCTTCTAGTGTTTCATTGTTGATTCCTTTAAAGCTGAAATGTGGAGATGTTTCGCCCCCTGCTGGTAAGTCTTGCAAACAATCAACACCTGACTTTAAACTGCAAATGTTTAGGTATGAACAAATTAACCATTTCATTTGCACAGTGTGAACCAACTGCAACTCCCTGGTCTTTCTCTGTGAAGTGGCACATCTGCCTATGACCACATGATGGCGCCAGAGTCTTAGAGATGGCCTCTTGTCCACAGTAGAAAGTCATGTTGCCTTTGTTCAGCCTCAGTCAACGTTTGACCTTTTCTGCTCCTCTGTACTTTGTGGTCAGGACTGCTGCGTCAGCTGCTCCTCAAATGAATGAATATCACTCACTGGGGTGTTTTTCACTTGCATGACTCAAACACTCTTGCTAATGTGACTGGGTTTCCAAACTGGAAATCATTGTTGCACTGAATAAAATCATTTAAAAAGTGTTGTGTCAAAGTTTTGCATAATGCTACAGACCTCCAACTATACATCTGGTAAGGTGCAGCAGCCACGGCCACATTTGGGTGGAACGTTGGAGGTCAACGTGCCAAATCACCCAACAACAACACAGTGAAAAAGTGAGATCGCAGGTTTGGTCCCTCACAGGGTTAAAATAAAACGTGGACTTGCTTCTGAACAAAACCCCGATAACAGGGACATCAAGGCTCATATCGTCTCCAAGATGGAGAGAGTGAGACTTCACGAGTGAAAGCTTTGCCTCTGACTCTTTGCATGGATGCGCGCCGACCTTGGAGACGCACGGCGGAGGATTTTGCGCACTGAAGTACTTTCGCTGAGGAGAGCGCACAGAGCGCGCACAGCTGTCTGACTGACTGCAGCTCTCACATCGGGATACGGGCTCACTTGGCTCTACTTTACCGCGGTGCATCGACGTCTCAGTATAAACAACACTGCTCCGGATTGGGCAGAGTTCATTTAGATTTGGGTTTGATGCGCATATAGAACAGTGAATGTAGGCAGAGTCTGCAGAGAGATCCAAGAGTCCGAGAAAGACGGGGACGCGCTGAGAGGATTTTAGGAGTCTTTGCCCCAAAGTGGATTGAACAGGGATGATTCAAGTCGCCTCATCCAACTAAGCGAGCTACTGCCTTTGGAAAACGGTAAGAAAAAAGTTCTTAGTTTTTTTTCTAATGTCCCGGGGCTTCTTCCAAACGAAGAACCACAGAGGGGATTGGCAGCGATTTAACGTGGTGAATGTTTCTCGCAGGTGATCAAAGCGATGCTCCAGCGGCATGTGCGTCTGTCCCTCTCCAAAGCTTCCAGGGAGGATTTAAGCGCCGCTCATCTTGAATAAAGTCGAGAAGTCATTGAAGATGAGTGCCCTGCAAACGCTCCTGCTTCTGTGTCTCCTGCACCAGGTGAGGGTCTGAGTCCCTGCAGACTAAACATGGACAAATGTGAAGGTTTTTACGCAATGCAAGATTTATCAAAAACTACATATGTGCCAAATGATATTGAACTAAAATGACTGTCTTGAAATTGTGGGTGATTCAACAGCATTTCCATTCGGAAAATAAGGATTATTATACTTTTTTATCTACCTGAATGTACAATCTGTTCATTAAAATAAGTATCTTAATGGACATTAACAGCTCCACTAATTATGTGTTTTCTTTCTCTTTTCTTATTTAAAAGATTTCATTTTTCATTTTTCAAAAATGTCCAGCCTCTAGCTGACTGAGTTTCATTCGGTGGACTAGACTATTTTTCAAATTATATAATATATTTATTATACAACGTGCACTTGATTTTCTTAATAGACTGACTTAAACTTATTATTCTCATTTGACACTGTGACTTTCCCTTAGCGTTCATCCTTCTTATTCAGGTCCAGAAAATAATACACGTAGCCCATATTTGTACAATATAAAAAACATTTACGTCACATTCCTAGTTAATGAGCATTATCATAGTTTATAATTAACAATTCTGCAGCACTTATAATTTAAGAGGTTGAGTTAATGTGGTTAAAATCAATCAAATTAATCACTGGTTATAAACTATATACCAATGTACAAGCTTGCAAAAGTTCATAGTTCATTTCCACTGTGTGGGTGTTTTTTTTAAATTTCATATATTACGGTCTAGGTGTCTTGAGTCTGTCCTCCATTGCTCAACCAAACAATGGACCTCCTCATGTCTTCAACTGTATCTCGTGCATATTTGTGGTTAACGATCATTTTTCATTTACTCTCCTCCATCAGGCAAGAACAATGTTTAACCTCATGTGTCGAAAAAAAAACCTTGACACCTGTAAAGTGTCATTTTCATTCTACACCAAGTGTAAACGGAAAAAAATAGCGAAAATAAATTAAATAATGAAATGACAACTGAGAACAATACATGCAAATTGCAGCACTCACAGGTTTCCGTGGCCTGTGCACTTCCTCTATAATAACCTGTAACTACAAATGTGATGAAACTGTGTCCCTGAGAGAGAAACTGTTGGTATTCACCAGATCCTGATTGTCTCATAAGCTTCTGGACATAATCTTTTCCCGCAGTTTAATTCTGTTTTTATTGCAGGACTAAGCTCTCCAAAGAAAGATCACAAGCTTTATATAGGGAAATATAAAGGTTGAATATATGTGTGCCTTTTTTTTTTTATCGTGATCATCCTTGCTTAACAGTCCCTTGCCGTGATCACACCTGAGCAGAAAATGCCACGCGATTGAAGAAGTTCCTCACATCTGTGCTGTCGTCAAAGAGGGCTTCTTTAAAGATAGCCTTGAACTGTGCAGATGGAGCGGCAAAGTGCTGTCTGCCCCGGCTGCTGCTGTAATCAGCCCTGTGCCTATTGGGAGCTACTGCCTCCAGAGAGGGAGGGAGAGAGGGAGACGGGCTGCGTCCCTGGAGAGGCTCTTTTCATTGGCCTCGGTGGCTCCCCTCCCAGCAGACTCACCCCTGTCTGAATGGGGACATATTGGCCCTTATCAGTATTCCCCCACCTTCCGTAGGATAAAGAATGCTTGAATTCCAGACTGGGTCTCGTAGAAAGCATGAAATATGTGCACAAAACTTTTTTTTCTTAGTATGTCTGCTTAATAGGAAAGTTTTAAAGAGACACAGCAAGGTTTCCATCCAGGGACAGTGTCACAGGATGCACCTCAGACAACTAAAGCCATCAGGACGGCCTGTAATGAGGACGGGTACACGTTCCATGATTTTATCAGAGATTTTAGGTTCTGGAGCAAAGGCCAAATCCTCCAACAACGTATCTTCACACACGCACTCATACACTCATGACATGAATCAAATTGGTGAAAATGCATCCCCAGCTCCCGGCATCTGTGCCATACCCCAGGGACAAATAAGAGGGTCACAGCCATCCTGGGAGAATCCATTCTTTCTCGTGACATCTGCTGCAGTTATCCTCTGTGCAATGACAGCAGAACAATGTGGATGGCTTTAGGAGCCGTGCTCTCTGCCATCTCCTCCCTGCCTGTCCAGCCCTGCCTCTATATGCTTTACTCCGCAGATTGCATGCAGGGAAAGGTTTTTGTTTGTTTGTTTGTTGGGATTAGGAGTGAGAGGAGGCTGAGAAAGTCTATTGCACCACTGTATCTTTGGGTAAGAGCTCTTTGGAAACGGGGCCCGTGCCAAGAGGGCCGGCGTTAGAAGTAGCTACCTTCTCTGATACTGTAAACGCCGCCCAGGGTCACACATGAGCAGGGAAGTAAGCAAAGCGTCTTGATAGAAGGGTGTGACGCATTAAAGAGACAAAGCTTAGCTGGTTACTGGTAAAGCTGTACGTGCCTTGTCCTCTGTATCCGCAGCACGCCCCGAGTTCATCCCTGTAACTTTGATGTGCACTGATTTAAGGGATTACAAGTCATTTCTCAGAGGATTTAGCATTAATTTCAACAGTTATTTATTTAGGAGCATAAATACCTACGTCATAATTTATCTCTTCATCCATCAACGGCACTAGAGACGAGAATATGAATTTGAATTGGCAGATTTTTAGCTGCTACATTGTTGTAAATTTCTGGCAAAGGATTTTTTTTTCCTTCTTCCTTACTTTGTTTTTCTGCAGTGTTGGAGTGAGACAGTGAGGCTCTATGCAAAGTCAAAAAGGGCTCTGGCAAGGACAACAGCTTTATCCCCGTCTTCATAACAAAACACACATTCTACATAAATTCCCTCTCTAAGGGCTCTTTAACCCCTCTCCCCCTTCCCCACGCTCAATTAGGTTTGGGTTTTTATTATTATTATTTATTTATTGTATATTTAAAGGCAAATAACACTGGGAAAGTGTAATAAAATGTACAGTGGGGGGGATTAGGAGCAGCGCTTTAATCTCACGCTTCTGATAATGCTGCATGGGCTGATTGATTAGTTTTTCAGGAAGCTTATGTCAGAAAAACCTAATCCGTCTTTGGATTGTGCCAGCCTTGTAAGGTTTTCCGCGCTGCCACTTTATCATGGCAGCGAATTACAGAGCTGCTGGGCTGTGATAAGGTCCTCGTCTCTTTTACAGACCCCACCGCCCAGCCCCCTGCACCCCTTCCCGCCTCCCCCCCGCCCCACCCCTCCTTTCCCTCTGGACAATAAAAAAAAAAAAAAGTGTGTTTATATTCTTCACATCCCCTACTCTGCCTGGTCTTCGCATCTCAACCTCTCTCCGGATTTGCCTTGTAAGAAAGCGAGAGAGAGGGAGGGAGAGAGGGAGAGGGAGAGAAAAAGACTGGAACTTAAGTCTTCAAAAACCCACCAGAGAAATTGGGTGGAGAGGGAGGGAGAAAGAAAAATGAGAGGAAATGTCAGGCGGACCAGAAGAAAAAATGTCTGTGGAAGTGATTAAACATGGATTGACGGAGCAGAGGGGCCTTGTATGCATGCGCTGCCCTCCCAGGAATCATTTCGGAGCTTACATGGTGCTGATGTGTATCTGTGCTCATATTGGGGTCACAATCTCTCTCACCACAGGGCCCAACTAGATAATCCCTCATAAACAATACTGTCCGTGGCATTTGCTGTCCTCCGCCTGCATGTTGTCTGGAACCTCTTAAGGAAAAGGTTGTTGTTTCCGCAGGTTAAATCCCTCAAATGTAGCTCGCAGCCACTCCAACTTGTGTTGACTGTATTGAGCCCTGGAGCCTGTCCTCCCTTTTTCCCAATCATCAGTCATAATTGCGTGCGTGCTGACAATAAATCCATGATAAAGGTCTTGGAATGAAGAGAAAGAAGCTCCTGGTGATTGATAGTTGTGACACAATTGCCCTTTGCATTGACAATAACCCTAATCTGGCTGCTGAGTGGACCATTAAAGATTAAAGTCAAAATACTTATGATTACTTTCCCCGAGCATCTCTTGTGATGTGAGCTCTTTGGGATGGACTGAGGTGCCGAGCGGCTCTCTCGCATGAAGTCACACCCCACTCCGGTGGCTCCGGCACTGGAAACATTATGTTTAATACGATGTCGAGTCTCCTGATCTTGGTCCACAGCTATGAATTTTTATGGAGCGATCCGCAGCCCCCGGCGGCGTTAGATCTGGAGGCTCTGCTACCTTATAGCATTGTCATTACTGCTCTGCAGGTCAGAGACATCCAGCATCCTCTGATGCACAACCTCGATGTTTAGCAGCTCTTTTATCTCCCTGCTAATACTGCTCTTTACTGCTGTGCTGCAACAAAGCAAAACATGGATATCAGCTCCTCTACAATAGGTACTTTGTCTATGTGTATGCGGTCTGAGGAATTGTGGTATCGCGTTTTCTTTTATTCACTCAAATATTGCAAGAGTTGTCACGGTTCTGTCGCATTCAGCCGAGAAGTCTTCATTTGCGTTTGAACTGCCAAACTCAAGAATAAGCTGTGTAATCGCCCAAAGTCACCACTCCAGCAGGCAAAGTTTCTGCAGCCGAACACTTTCATATTTTCCCAAACACTCTGACATATAAAGTTCTTAATTACCACCTGGTTGCTTCTTGGAAAAGGCAATCACACTCTATGTCAGAGTGCAGGAAATGATTGACCCCTTTAATAGAAGCTGCGTTGCTTTCCTGTAAAAAGGAAAGGTGTGACAGCTTTAGAATATGTACAATAAATCTCCTCGCTGATTATTCTCAGTTTTGCGTTTTCCTCCTCTGCCTCTGGGCTTTGAGGCCCCTCTCTTTTTTTTTTTTTTTTTCAGCTTGTCATTTTCAGCCCTAACAAAGCACTGTCAGCTCCCCTCTGTCTTTGTATATTTCTTGTGAAGTAACTGTCTTCAGAGCTACTCAGAGGAAAATGAGGCAACGTCTTTCCAACTCGTGTTTCCTCTTCAAAGGGAGCTGTTTCTGTGAAATCAGCCACGGCGCAGTCGGCTGCGGGTACGGAAAATGTTTTCTCTGTCAAATTTAGTGGACGTATGT